AGATAGATAGATAGATAGATAGATAGATAGATAGATGATAGATAGATAGATAGATAGATGATAGATGATAGATAGATAGTTAGATAGATAGTTAGATAGTTAGATAGATAGATAGTTAGATAGATAGTTAGATAGATAGTTAGATAGATAGTTAGATAGATAGTTAGATAGATAGTTAGATAGATAGTTAGATAGTTAGATAGACAGATTCACTAACAGATGTTTTAGAAAAAATTGTTCAGAAACCCTTCCTCTTTAAAAAAAAAAAGTGTCGCTCAAAGAAAGCCAGTTTGGTCTCGGGCCATTCACCAGGCGATGTGAATTCTAGTCCCACCTTAGGCATTAAAGCTGCCTTGGTAACTTTGGCCCAATCACCAGGAGACTATGAATTCTAGTGCCACTTTCGATATGAACATTGGCTGGGTGCATTTGGACCAGTCACTCTCTCTCAGCCCAACTCACCTCACAGGGTTGTTATTGTGGGGAAAATAAGAGGAAGAAGGTGTGTGGGATATGTTCACCACCTTGAGTTATTTGTAAAAATAATAAAGGCAAAAGTAAGTAAGTAAGTAAGTAAGTAAGTAAGTAAGTAAGTAAGTAAGTAACTTAGTAAGTAAGTAAGTAAGTGAATAAAAATATGGAAGCATTGAGAAGTTCTAGATTGTCTCCAGAACAAAGGAAGTTATTGGCGTCAAGAAGCCATATCATAAAGACTAAACCTTTTGTTTTGGCTTTGAAGAAAAAAAGAATTGGAATCTTGCCTGTGAAGAGTTGACTGCTTATTGCCTTCGTTCCTTTTAGCCATTAAGAACCAAGCAACTGGCCACTATATCCTAAATGGCAAAGGAGAAAGATCCACCTCTCGTTCCTTCATCGACTTTGGCTTAGAATGGGAATACCACATAGAAGACGGTATAGAAACTCTTCAGACAGATGGGCCTTTGCACGATGCCATTCTTGTTCTGGTAAGTCATGTTACGCTGGCGGTTTATTTTCCTCACGAGCTTAACAGAGTCTACCTTTCTGCCTCCAAGAACTGTAAATTTCAATTCAAAGTCCTCAACTCTATTGACGTTATTCTCAAAAGTATGTCCCATTAAAAGTTAATGGCAATTTTTTTTGAAGAAGATGCATCTTGGGCTTGACCTAATCTATTAAAGGGCATATTAAGACGTGCGGTGGCTCAGTGGCTTAATGACGTTGGAGATGGTCTCAATTCTAGCAGTTCGAGCCTAAGCATTGCGTGTTGGGGTGAGCTCCTGCCACTCACCTCAGCTTCTGTCCACCTAACTGTTCGAAACCATGTTCTATGCGAGTAGATAGATAGGTACCACTTTGATGGGGAAACAAACGGTGCTCTATGCAGGCAGTCAGATTCCAGATGGCTCTGAACCTTCCCGGTTGTGATATCCACTTGAGAGACAACTCTGGGAAGGGAGGGGGTCTTGGGTGACACTGCAGGAAAAGCCACTCTGGTGCGAAGCCAGCTCACTCTCCTGTGTTACACTTTGGGAAATGCACAAGCATGTCCTATAACAGGGCTAGTACCGTGGCAAGCCAAACTACTACTTTGCAACAGGATGGTCTCCTAGATACTGTAACAATACCATATGCTAATCATAAGCGACACATTGGTTCTGAATGGAAAAATGCCAGTCGCTGCAATTCTTACAGCCTGATCTCTTTCAGCTTAATAAATCTTGCTGAAGAAGAATCTGCACAAATACGGTATGGAAAGAATTGAGGGGTTCTTTTGTGGGGCGAGGGGGGGGTCAAGGCAATTGCTGAAGTACCTAATAAGGTAGAGAAGGATTCCCTGTTTTCTAATACTGACAGCTTCTTTTGTCATCCCGTCCTTTTACAGGTAATTCCTCAGGATAACAATACCCAATCCAGCCTGATTTACCGATACATAATTCATGAAGATTCTGTGCCCAATGTCAGCAGTAACAATGTCCTTCAGGAGGAACTGGACACCTTTGAGTGGGCTTTGAAGAGCTGGTCCCAGTGCTCCAAACTCTGTGGAGGAGGCATGTTGGAATAGTTGGGAAGGGGAGAACAAAGGGATGTCTATATTTTGTACCTAGGGATAGGTTGATAATTCATCCCTGGGTTGTGGCCTGCCAGTGGCCAGCAGAGCTGGCAGCAGATTCAGACAGTGAGGGGGTTGGGGAGGAACATGGGCCAGTCCTGGAGTCTGGGGAAGGCTCTGAGGAGGCCTCTGTGTCGGAGGCAGAGAGGGGGCCAGGGCCGTCTGCTAGTTATCAGCTGCCTTCGGAGTCAGACATCAGTGAGGCAGAAGAACAGCTGGAGCCTGTTCCCAGTGTGCCCATGCACAGAGTTTCCAGACGAAGGGAAAAGACTTGGGAGTAAGACTACAGTGGACGGTGAATGGCCCCTCCCAGAGGACATAAAAGAGGGAGCACCAGGGGAGTGGAGTTTGCAGGAGTTCAATTCATTAGGGCAAAGAGCCATTCCTGACTTCTTGCCGAGTCATTGCTGCTACAGCGTGGCGTTTAGAAGATATCGGCCTGGCAGCTCTCCAAGCTCAATGAAGGCCTGTCGTTGTAAAATCTCTTGAAAGACTGTCGGCTGGGACTTTGCTGGAGAGGAATTCCCTGTGACCCGACAAAAGGGCGAATGACAAAACCGTGCCAGGCTAAACCGCGTCGCTAAAACCGCAACGTCATCAACGCGTCGACAACAGCGCGGCAACAACAGCGGGGAG